CGGGTGCAGGGGACAGGGAGAAGGCCAGAGCGAGTACCTGTGTCTGAGACCCCCCCTTGCTGGCCTCTCTGCTGGGGAGTGTTGAGGGACCGGGCAGGTGTGGTGGGTGCAGGTGTGGTGGGTGCAGGTGTGGTGGGTGCAGGTGTGGTGGGTGCAGGTGGGGCAGCGGAGAGGCTGGGGCGCTGCCGCTCCACTGAGACCCGAGACCACGCAGGGGCTGGGCTGGCACCCTGTGCACCCCCAGCTGGGCTCCGCCAGGGGCGGCTCCGGGGGGCCAGGGCCCCTTGGGAGCAGACTGGCCCCTTCTGGGCGCTGACGGGCACCCCACCCTGGCCTTGCCCTCAGCCCCTGGAGGTGGGTGCCGGCTTGCCGCTCTGCGCCCCTCGCGCCCCACCCAGGCAGAGTGCTCAGCACACTGACGATGTTCCACGCGGCCGCGGGCCTTCTGGAGAGTTCTGGAGTTCCCTGGGGCTCCTCCGTCAACGGCCTACACCCTGGGAGCCCGGTCTCAGTGTGGGTCTGGGGGCGTCCTGACCTGTCTGCACCCCCTCCTGCCCCCCACCAGTGGGGTGGTGCCAGGCTCTGGGAAGCTGGGCAAGTCAGGCCTCTGGGCCTTCGACCCTGCAGCACCCAGCGCCGTGGACCTGGAGGTCAGGGGTGCCGGCGGCTCTGGGAGGGGCCGGGACTGAGGGGCCAGTGGCCCTGGCTGTGCTGGTGGTGGCACCAAGGCAGGGCGTCGCCCCGTGACCAGGGCTGCCCCTCACTGGCCACCCCCAGGAGAAGGAAGGGTGGAGGTGCTCTCTGCCACTCCCCCGCCCCGGGGACCCCACCCCCGCCCCAGGGTCATCCTCTCCTGGGCCAGGCCCCCCCTGCTGGGGAGGACGAGCAGACCAGCGCGGCGGGGTCCCTCCACGGTCCCTCCACGGCCTGAGGCCAGGGCAGGCGCACACCCCGCGCGCAGTGCCCTCTCCAGCCCGCGCACTTGGCTCCCCTCAGCCCGGGCGCCCGTGCCCCAGAAGCCACTCGGAGCTTTCAGGAGAGCGACCCCACTGGAGCCCCGGACTGCTACCCGCGGACTGGGAGTCCGGCTGGGGGTCCGCACCCCTGCCGGCCCCAGTTTTCCTCCACTGGGGGCGTCTGGAGCTCCCGCTTCAGGGCCGGCAGGCGGAGGCGCCCGGCGGAGCCACCCTGACGCGGCCGGTGCTCAGGCGCCGCGGGGGTGAGGGGCTCAGCGCCGGACCCTGCGCGGCTCCGTCTCCCTGGGCGACCCGACTCGCCCCCGAGAGTGCCCTGAGGCTGCGCAGAGCGGGGCAGGGGCCTTCCCGGGGCTCCGGGGCCGTGGGGGAGGGTCCCGGCCGGGAGCCTGAGCTCGCGCAGCCGGTGAACCTCCACGCCCGCCCCGAGCGCACGCGGTCGGCGGGCGAGTTTGGCTGCGGGACGCCGACCCGCGGGGAACCTGGGGCACGAGCCCCACGCCCGAGCGAACACCCCGCGGGCGTCTGGGTCGCACCGAAGTCCCCAAGGAAGGGCAGCCAGGAGGACCGGGCGCGGGCGGCGCCGGAGCCGGAGGGACGCGGGCGCGGCCTCCGGCGGTTTATTGATTGAACAAGTTCGGCAAAGTGCTTCCAAGCGGGGCGGCCCGACGCGGACAGTCGTTTATAAATTTAAAACTCTTCCGTGGCAACCGGCTGCACAGTCAGCGGCCGCGCCTCACCGAGCGGCCGCCCGGCCGCGCTCAGAGGTGCGGGGCGTAGAAGGCGGGTGCGCCGTAGGTCTGCGAGCCCAGCACGAAGGGCGACAGCACCGCCGGGCTCGACAGGAAGGGCAGCTGCGCCGCGCACACCAGGCCGCCGGGGCCGTGCGCTGGGTACCCCGCGGGGCCGTGCATGGCGAGCGGCGCGCCCATGGGCGGCGACGGGCTGAGGGGGCTGAGGCCGCCGGGCAGCCCTGCCCCCGGCCCTGCGCCGGGACCCGGGCCCCCGCCGCCGCCGGTCGGGGCGCTGGTGTCGGCGCCCGGGTTCTGCTTCTTCCACTTGGTGCGGCGGTTCTGGAACCAGATCTTCACCTGCGTCTCGGTGAGGCTGAGCGACAGCGCCAGGTTGAGGCGCTCGCACACGGACAGGTAGCGCGTCGCCTTGAACTTGTTCTCCAGCGCCACGAGCTGCTCGTAGGTGAAGGCGGTGCGCGCGCGCCGCGGCTTCCCGGACTTGGAGTCGGAGCCCGTGCGCTTGCGCTTGGGCTTGGTGGACCCGGCCGTGCCCTGCGGGGCCGTCCCCGCGCCCCCTGGCGCCGCTGCCCCCGCTGAGGCCCCCGGCGGGGCCTGGGCTCCGGGTGAGTTTCCCCGGGGGCCGGGCGCCGCGGCCTCGTCCACGGTGCCGGGCGCCTCCTCGGCCTCCACCGCACCTGGGCAGCCCGACCCGCGGGCCGCGAGGCCGCCCCCGCCTCCTCGCGCCTCCTCCGCGCTGCGCGCCGCCCCCGCCTCGGGCGCCTGGTCCTCGTCGTCCGGAGCCTCCTCCCCGCTGTCCGCGCTCGGGCTGCGGCCGCCGCTGCTGTAGCCGTTGGCCTCGGCCTCGTCCGCCTGGTAGGGGTCGCCGGCGTCTGCGGGCGGGGACCGCACAGGACAGTTAGACTCGCGCCCTCCTTCCCTGCTCGCTCCCCCGCCGCCCGGGCCGTCCCCGCGGGCCCCCCGGTGCTCCCCCTTCCCCGTTTCGTTGCCTCTTTCGTCTGTTCGCCTCCCCCCCCCCGCCCCCTGAGCCTTCGCCCGCCTTCCCCTCGCTCCTCCCGTCCGCCCGCGCTCCCGCCGCGCCCCGCAGCCCCGCGCCTTTGCCCGAGCGGGACCCGCGGACTTTTCGGCGGAGCCGAAGCTCAGATCGAACCGTCGGGCAGATACAAACTTAATTAAACTCGTTTTGTGTAATGTACAAACTAGTTAAGGGCCATTTAATTTATTCCAGCCTATATCACCCTCTAATTACGCAGGGCGCGGGGCCAGGCAATTACCTGGCATTTAAGAGCCGCGGGGCCCACCGCGGGCGCGAGTCGGAGCAGGCCGCAGGGAGGGCAGGGCCGTGGACCAGAGCCGCCTGCCCAGGCCCCAGGTCAGCCTCCAGCCCCGGAACGCGGCTGCCGTCCACTGACACCCTGGCCGGGGCCGGGGTGGGGGTCCTCAGAGGCCCAGGCGGAGCCGCAGCGGGGTGCTCTGAGCAGAGGACCCTCGGCGGCTGCCTTTGGAGCCCCGGGCATTTGGGAGAGGGCGTCAGTCCTGGGCAGCGCCTGGGAGTGGTCTGTGCAGCCCCCACCCCCACAAGTGGTTCTGCAACCAGGAGAGAAACCAGGGCAGGGGCCCTTCGTGGTGCCCTTCTGCCGGGCACCCAGTCTGCTGTGGGGTCGGGTGGGCACCCGGAGGCCAGGGAATAAACCACAAATTAATTCAGCCCTGGCGGGTTCCTGCAGGGTAACCGGAGAAGCTGTGGAGGCAGCAGAGCAGGTGCCCGGCACCCCCCACCCCGCTGGCAGAAGCAGGGCACCCCAAGAGCCCCTGTGCGTCCAGCCCCTGCCCTGTCCCCAAGTGGGACGAGGAGGAGGGGTCCCCACCGGCTCCCTCTCCGAACCAGCCAGAGCCTGGCCTTCCGCCTGGGACAGGCACTGCGTCCGAGCGGAGACACTCAGAGCCCCGGCCAGGTGGACGGCAAGACGGAGCCTCTCCAGGAAGGCCAGCACCTGGAGGGGCCGAGTGCCGGTGCCGGAGGCCCCCCTGCCCCGAGACCCTCCCCGAGCCCTGGTCCCGGGCAGCCGAGGGGCCAGGAAGTCGGGAGGAGGGAGGGCCTGGGGAGGGGGCACAAAAGCAATCAGGAGCTGGTCGAATGCAATTCCCGATCAATAGCGGCCCCTAATAAGTGTAATAGGTTTTAATCGAGTAATTATCCGAATTTTGACCCTATAATTTAGATGTTCGGGGGGAGGCTCCGCAAGGTGCTTGAAAGAGATATGCACGCTGCCGTAATGGGATATCGACCCGGCCGGGGCGCGGGCCGCCCCATTACCAGCCGCTTTCCGCCGCTAAGCACATTTCCCCTTAACTGTAATCGAAGGGATTTAATTGTTTTTCCAGAGATAACCAGCGTTTTGTCACAATTAGTCTGATTTGTTTAAAAAAAAAAAAAAGGAGGGAAGGAGGCCTCAGGCGGCTGCGGTGGGGGCAGGGAGGTCACCAGCCAGCCCCAGCGCGCCCTCGATTCCTCCAGCACCACCGACCCTCCACTGTGGGCACGCGCGGTGGCCAAACCCCGGCCAGCCTTGCAGCCCCACGGCCCCGGGCCAGCCCCGCAGAGCCAACCGGGAGGCTCTGTCGCGTGCGGGCCCCAGAGTCCGGGTCGGACGGAGGCCGAGGGCCGGCTGGGGCGGCCCCGCGCGCTGCGAACTTTACGCTGCGCTTTGGCCCCGGCCCGCCAGGCTTGAGGAGGGGGTCCCGGGACGTAAACGCAGAGCACCGCCGTGTCCCCTGCCCCCGCCACCCGGCGTCGGCCGTGTCCTACTCACGCGCTGGCTCGGCTCCGGTGGCGGTTCCAGCTCCTCCCGCGGCGGCGAGGGCGCGGCGCTCCAGCTCCTCTGCGCGCGGCGGACGCCCCGTGGCGGCGGGGACCGGGGCGCACGGGGCCGGGGCGCACGCGGTGGGCGCCACAGGGCCCAGCAGCACACAGCGGCGTCTTCTGCTGTTGAACTTGTTGGGGTCCAGGATGTCCAGCACCGAGAAAGAGGTGGGGCGCGGCGGTGGGGCAGGGCGGGCCACCCCAGCTCCCTCGGGCGCCGCGGGCGCCGTGTCACCGGCAGCCAGCGGCGGGGCTCCGGCCCGGGGGAAGGCAGGCAGCTCGGCGCGCCCGTCCATGGCGTCCCGGGCGGCGGCGGCGGGTGCAGGCGGTGCGGGCCCCGGGCCGGGTGCGGGCGGCGGTGCCGGCGGCAGAGCGGGGCCGTCCCCGGGAGCCGCCGCGCCGCTCGCGCTCATGCCGGCCTCCCGCCAATCCGGCCGCTCGGGACCCGCTGGCTACTGGGCTCCCATCCCTGGCGGCCCGTGCGCGGCCGCACGGTCTCGCGCAGGCCGCCGCCGCCGCTCAGCTAGATGTCCGCGACGCGCCCTGCGCTCCGCGCTCGGCCGGAGCCTGGCCAGTGCTGCCCGGCGCTGCCGCCGCCGCCTCAGGCGCCTGCCGTGCCCGGTCCGCGCATTTATGGCGGCCCCGCCGGCGGCGCCTACGCGCCCACACGCCGCACACACGTGCGCTCGCAGGCGGCCGCGGGGCTCCGCCGCCCTCGTTAGCGCGCGCGCCTAATTGGCTGCGAACGGTCCCGGGCAGAGGAGGCGGGCCTCTCGCGGGACACACGGACGGAGTCCCTGCCGGACAGACAGACGCGCAGCCTGGAGCAGGAGTGCGGTCCGCGAGCGGCAGTCGCGGTCAGCGGCGTGTTTCTGCGCCTCCGCTCGTCCGGAAACGGCACTCCCGCCCCCCGGGCTCAGGGGGAGGAGACAGCGGGGCTTTCAAATAATTGCGGGATCAATCGGCGGCGAAGGGGCTGCGGAGGCCCCGGGGCGCGCGGTCGGGCGAGCGCGCGGAGTTGCCTGGGACATGCCGGCGCGCGGGGCCCCTGCGCTCGGTGGGCGCCCGAGGCTCCGGCGCCCCTCGGCGGCTGGGGCGAGGAGTGGGGTCCTCGCCGCGTCCTCAGCCCCGGCCCAGTTGTGCCATCAGAGGTCGGTCCCGCCTCTCTCGGTCGCTCTTCTCCCGTCTCGGGGTCTCCCTTGACCAGGGTCTTGCCCCTCCACCTCCTCCCTCTGCCTCCCCCTTCGCGGCGTCAGATTAGGGCCCGGCCTGGCGTCTCCGAGGGGGCGGGGCCGACGGCCCCCGGGGTCCCCCTTTGGAAGCGACGTCGACAATCGGGAAGGTAGGACGGGCCTCCCGCCCCCGCCCCGCCCCGCCCCCAAAAGGGGGACCGAAGCGTCGGACGCGCAGCGGACGCCCCGCACAGACGTCCGTGCCCTTCAAGTAAGGGGGAGCGTGGCGGCGAACTCCCTTCCCCGGGCGGTGGAGGCAGGACGCCCGCGGCCCGGGCCTTTATTAGTGCACGTTTATCCACAGCCGCCAGGGCCGCGCCGCAGGCCCTGCGCCCTCGGGGGACGGCGGGCACCCGACCCCCCTCCTGCAGCCCCAGGAGCGCCCCGGCCGCCGCGGGGACCCAGGTGGGAGCCGCGCACCAGTGTCCAGAGCGTGTGCGGCTGTGTGTGACGGCGGCGATGTGCGCGGGCGCGCGCACGAGCGATGTGCGCGCCGCCTCGCACTGCGGTCCCCGGAGCCTGCTCGGCGCACAAGGACGGGTCCTTTGCAATTACCGCGGGCAATGATCCTTTGGAAGCAGAAATTAAAAGTTGGGAGGAATAATGGGGGGCCGACGGGCTGTAATTTGGGCCACGCTCGGACATGCTGAGCCTCAGGGAGGCTGGGACTGGGGGGGGGGGGAGGCCGGGCGCCCCTCCCCCAGCCCGGCCCCTCCCCCGCGTGCCGGTCCGTCCGAGATTCTAATCAGACCCACAACACTGTGTCCTTCCTCACCAGGACTTGATTATTCTTTATCTTTAAATTATAAATCACCTCTGGGGGAAGGAGGGTGGGTAATCTCTCATCTCGGGGAGGTAATTATCTCCTTCCCGCCCCCACCTTCCCGGAGGGCTCCCGCGCTCTCTCCGCCCCTCCCCCAGCCAAGTTCGAATAGAGATGTCGTGCTCGCCGTTCACACACACTCGCGCACCCTCATTCACCGGCACCGCCTCACGCAAGCACGCGTTCATTCAGGATCGCCCCGGCGCGCCGGGCGGGCGGGCGGCCCAGCCGCACTCGCACCCTGCAGCCGCCGCCCGCTCTGTGCCGCCGGGTCCGGAGGTGCCGCTCCGCTGCCCCACGAAGGCGGAGCTGCCCGGCGCCCTGGGGGCAGGCCCCAGTGCGGACCCCGGGCCTGGGCCTGGCCCTGGGTGGCCTCCGTGTGGCCCAGCACCCCGTCTCTCAGACGTGCCCTCAAACTGCAGGCTGCCGCCACGGCCCCCACGCCAGCCGCCCCTCGCGCCCACGTGCGCGCTGGGTGCCTGCCTGCGCGGGAGGAAGAGAAACCGGCCTGCCGGGCACGACTCTCACTGACCCGGAACGGATCGCACGCTCGGCATCACGCCGAGGCGGTGCCCTGTGTGGCGCGCGTCGCTGAAACGCAGCGGACGGCGCCCGGAACACTGAGCCCGATGTGTAGGATGAAGGGACAGGCCCTGGCCACTCGACCCCCCCCACCCCGGACACACGCGCGCTGCAGGCAGACCGCGCACCCGGGGGAGGGCGGCTGCGGCCTCAGGGCCCAGTGCGGCGCGGAGAGCGCCGCGTCCGCCCGGCGTCTGGAGGTGCCCAGAGGCCCCTGCTTGGCCTCCCGCCTCTCCTCCCCGCCCTGCGGCGCGGTACCCAAGTCTGCTGTGGGCGCAGGGAGGCGTGGGGCGGGACCCCAGAGCTGCAGAGGGGACCTCGGGTCGGTTTCCGGTGGGGAGGGGGCTCAGGGAGATCCCAACGACCCCCCCAGGCCCCCTCTAAGGAGCAGCCCGAGTCAGACAGGGCGCAGCCTCCCTCCTCCCAGCCGCCCGGAGACCGCCCCTCCCTCCCGCAAACTTCCGCCGGAGTGTCTCGGGCCGAGAAGGCGTCCTTCGCCCCCAATCACGGCTGATTGATTGCCCCTTAGCCCTCGTCTGTGCGAACGTTGTCCGTCTGCCACACCGGGTTGTGGCCCGGCCGCCGGCGTCCCCGCAGGCCCCAGGTGGGCCTGCCAGGTGAGATCAGTGCGGGCAGGGGTGCGAGGCCCCTGCCCGCCGGGGACAGCAAGGCCCCTTCACGGCTAAGCCCCGCCCACTGCACGTGCGCCAGGGCGAGCCGAGGTCGCTGGAGGGCTGGGGGGGCAGGAACCGGCCTGGGACGAGCCCAGGAATCTGGGGCGGGGACTGGCGGTAACTGGCCTCCAAGCGGAGCCGGGGAGGAGAGCGGCTGGGGAGGCTGGGCGGCCTGCGCGCTGGGCCGCGTCCCCTCCCCAGGGTCGGGGCTGCGGGAAGTTCGAGGAGAGGAGATGGGGGGGCACCGCCCTGCCCCGCCCCTGACTCGCCGCGTGTGTAGGGCCCCCCCCCCGCCTGGCGTCTGTCAGCTGGGGGCGGGGTTCCGCGGGACTTCTGAGGCCCTGTGGGCGGGCGTCTCCCTTTTCTCTTGATGCCGGAGGGCGTCCCCGCACAAGCTGCAGGGGCAGCAGAGTTCAGGGGTCTCCGGGGGCACGTGGATAAATACCCCCGGAGTATCTGTATACTTTTGCTCCACGCAAGCTGCACCCCACCCAGACCCCCCGGAGCCCCCCAACAGCGCTGTGACAGGCGCAGGGAAGAGGCCTCATCCGCACCCGAAAGTCAGGGCCCCACCCCGGCCCGGCCTGGGCGGCGCTGCTGACACCGGGCGTCCGTGAGCGGGCAGGCGCCCCCGTGGGCAGGACGCAGGTGGAGAAGGGGACCGAAGGCCCCTGTGCCCCCTCCCCCCTCCCCTCCGCCCCGCTGCGCACCGTTTGGAAAGTGACTTCTCTGCTCAGTGGTTTCTTCGTTCACCTTCTGAAAGGCGCGCCCCCCCCGGGGGCACCTGACCCCCTGAGAAAGGGCGCCCCGCACTCAGAATCCCAGATAAGAGAGGGAACGCGGGCTGCGGACTGCCACAGAGCCCCGCGGCCGCGGGAAAGCGATGCCCGGCCGCGGCGGGCGCCTGCAGGACCGCGGACAGCGCCCGGGACGGCGCCCCGCCAGCACCGCGGACAGCGACCCAGCTCTACCCGCCGCCCCCGACCCCTGCGCGCGTCCCCGCTCCCTTCCCCGAACCCCGGGTCGCCGCGGAGGAGGACGAGGCCCAGCGCGCCAGGCGCAGCCCTGGCTCCCCGCGGCCGCCCGGGACCGCGCCCGCGCCCGCACGCGGATTTGTACGAGGTTTCGCCGCCCGGGTTTTAAAATTCTCCTGTTTGAAAGCGTCGCGGTTCAGAGACCACAAGCACGGAGCGCGGCGCCCGGCTCAGGGCGAGGCGTTTAAACCCTTTAAACTGAAAACAAAACCCAACAGCCCGCACCGCCGGAGCGAGGCCGAGGGCGCCGCGCGCACAGGGCCCCGACCCCCGCCTCGGGGCTGCCCGGGGCGCGCTGGTTCCAGAGGGGTCCCTGACCGGAGGCCAGGGCGCAGCGGAATCAGCGCCTCCCGGGTGGGTAAACTGAGGCGGGGAGGCCGTCCAGCCGGGTGCCGGCCCGCCCACCCCGCGCCCCACGCCCCGTTCTGGGTGTCCACACAGACTGTCGCGCAGACTCAGGAGCCAGCGCGTCCGCCTCGGGGTGCCTCCCTGGCAGGGGGCCCCGTGCGGGGCGGGTGTGCCCGCAGGGGAAGGGCAGCTACTCGCCCCCAGAGAGAGGGGGGACAGGAGACCTGAGCCAGGCGGGGAGGGAGAGGAGGCGAGGGGTGTGGGCGTGTGGGGAGGCGAGAGGGGGCCCCGGCGGCCGGGAGGAGGTGGGGTGGGAGGTGGGGAGTAGGGGGGCTGAGAGTGGAGCCCCCGAGGGTGCAGGCGGCCCAGAGCGGGCACACGATGGTGCTCGGTCGAGGAAGCGGTCCTCCCCGCGCCGCGCAGGCCGCAGTCCCAAGCGCGCCCGCAGGGCCCGCTGGGGGTCGGGAGGGCGCCTGGTGGGGGGCTGGGTCGTGCCGCGTAATGAGCTTAATTGAGGTTAATGCCTCTTCCGCAGCTCCCTGATTATTAAATTATTACTATCGCCCGCATGAATCATAATTAGAAGGCTGAGCGGAGCCCCGGGGGCGCCTCGCAGGGGCGATTCTGGCGCGCGCGGCTGCCTCGCCGCCCTGACCGCCCCCGGGGGGATCGGGGAAACGTGTGCCCCCGAGGGGTGTCCTGCGCGGGGTGGGGACCGAGCGGGGAGGGCGGTGGGTGCAGGGCATGTCCCTGGGGCGGCGGACAGCGCGCGCCCGCGGCGGAGCGCGTGCGGGGGGCGAGGGGCGGGGGGCGTGTCCGCGGGGCCTTGCTGGGGGGGCGGGGCGGGGCGAAAGCTTAGGGCCGCTGCGCGCTCACGTGAGCTGCGATGTGGGGGGACCCGTGGTTTCACACCCCCTCCTCTCGGGTCAGAAGGGCAACACCCCTACCCCCCCCCCCCCGCACCTGCCCGAAGCTCCCCCTGTGGGGGGAGTGGTTGTGACCGCACCCCCCCCCCCCCCGCCCGGCTCCTAAGGCCCCGGCAGGAGCCCAGACACTCAGGGGGTGCGCGCTGCCCCTCCGCGCGCAGGCCGGGGCGTGTTGGCGCCCGTGGGTGTGACAGCGCGCTGACACGCGGCCGGTGTGGGCTCCTGTGTGTGTCTGTGTCCACGTGTGTTTTCTCGCGTGTCCCAGCGTCCGCTGTTTCCGTCCATGCGTGTGTGTGACGCGTGTCCCTGCGTGTGGGAGCGTGTCTGGGTGTACTAGGGTGTGGGGCCGGGCACCGAGCAGGGGTCCAACCCTCCATCTGGGCAGCCTGTGCCCCTCAGGCCTCCGGGAGGGTTTCGGGGGACATCGGGGTGCAGCCTGCCTGCGTCCTCTCTGCGTGTGATGCTGAGCCCCCCGCCGGTCCCTCAGCCCCTCCCCCGGCACTGCTGTGCGGGGCACCTTCCCGGGAAAGGCGGCTTGGGGAGGGGGGCGCCCAGCCTGGGGTCCCCAGGGCAAGAGACACATCAGTCAGCCGTCCCCAGGCCCCGAGAGCGAGCGCCCCCCCCTCCCCTTCCCCGTCTGTATTTACCCCCCTTTCTGTTGGCGGAACATATTGGAGGGAGAGAAAAGGAAACATTAAGACCCACTGAGAGCCACGCGGCGGTTTAACGATTTCAAATGAGCCCCGGCTCGGGTGAGGACCTGACAGGCCCCGTCAGGATGGCAGATGACGGCTAAAATTACCCGGAATCAATATTCTCACCGGGTGTCCCGGGCTGATAAGCACGGCGAAGACAATGTTGACTATTAAAGTCGACAGCTTGAGATATTACACTATTAGTTATGCTATTTTTAATAATCTATAATATTTGGGCTATAATTAATTAATTATACGGGTCAGATAGTATCTCGGGCTGGAATGAGGTCTGAAGGACCTATTACGGCGGTAATGAGAAAGGAGAAATCTAATCTGGGGACAGGTGCCGAGAGGCCTGGCGAGCAGGCCCGGGACCCGCCCGCCGACCTCCTGGGCCCCGGCCCGGCCCCGCTCGGCGGCCGCCTGGGAGGGAGCGGGGCCCGTGGGTCCGGGCGGGGCCTGCTGTGCAGCTGGGGGCGGCGGGGAGTGTGCCCGTCCCTCTGGGCACCAGGCACCCGTTCCCGGCCCACCCGACCTGCTTCCCCTCCTCTGTCTGAAGTGGGGGTCCCCGCTCCCCGGGCGTCCCAGGACCCCCCTCACACCCCTCCAGCATCCCCCCACCCAGAGGACGAAACCCAAGCCCATGGCTCGGGTCTGAGAGTCCCCCCACCCCCTGGGCCAGCCGCACCCCAGCCAGGCGGCCTGCCCGCTGCTGTGACGTCAGTCCGGCCGGCTCCTGCCCGCGGCCCCCGCCCCGGCCGCCCCCATGTCCTGGGCACCCCCCCCCACAGACGCCCCTTGCTCTGCTCCAGCGGCCCCCCTGGGACTGTCCCCAGGCGCACGGCTGGCTCACCTGCTGGTGGCTGCCGGGGCGGCTGTCAGCCAGCACTCGACGCCAGCGTGGCCTGGGGTGAGGGCCGCCTGGGCGTGGGTGGGCACGCCGCCCCCAGGTCCTGCTGCGGGAGGCAGCCCCTCCCCCACCACCGGGGACAGAGGGCCGGCAGGCGGGGCTCGGTGCTCAGGGTGGCCTGGAGCTGGCCGGCGGTGGCTGCGGGCTAAGTCTGCCTGCCTAGTGGCCTTGGGGCCCTCGACACTGGGGGACCTCGGCCTCTCCAGATGTCCTGAGGCCTCTCCAGCCCGGGTGCCCCCCCTTCCCTGCAAGCCAGCTCCCAGGCCTTCGCCCAGGTGGCCCCCTCTGGTCCCCGTGTCCCCAGGGCGTGGCCCCCCTGCCCCGGAGGGAGATGAACACGCATCGAACCAGCTCGTGGTGGGCCCCTCCCTGCGGCCACGGCGCTGTGGGCGTCAGCGACAGTGTTCCCAGGGGGGTGAGGGGGAGACCCGTGCGCTGGGTCTGTGTCCCAGGCAGCGGCTGCGCTCCAGCCGGGTCACGGAGCCGGACGGAAACTTCCGACTGCTCACCGGCCGCTTCTCCTCGGCGAGCACGCGCTGCCCCCGACGCCGCGCCGGACCGGGGCTCTGGGCGGGGCCCCCTCCGCTGTCGCCGACCCCGCGTGGGGACGCGGGCCCTCCCCTCTGCCTCTCCTCCCGGAGAGGACCCCCGTTAAAAATGCATTAACGGGGACCCCGACGGGGCGTGTGGACCCCAGACCGCGGCCAGGACGGGGCCCCAGGACCACTGGCGAGACCACGCGGAGTGTTCCTGGTGGTTCGTGCACTTGCCGGTCGCACGGGTGCTGGGGGTGCGTGTGCCGCGCTGGTGGGGCGTGGGTGCAGGCGGGGGCCCCCGGTCTGAAGTCGCCCCGGGGCGGAGAGCGGGTAAAACGCGCTGGTGCGGTCGGACGACACCAGCCGTTGCCTCCCGCCTGCCCTGCGGGTGCTGGCGGTTTCCTCCACCGAGGACAGAAAATGTCCGTGAAGGGAAGTGTCGCCGCTGGCACAGGCCGGCGGTGACGGCCGTTTCCGGGGGACTGCTGGACGCCGCGGTGCTGATGCGCTCGTGGGCGTGACGCTCGGGGGGGCACTCGGTGCCGCCTCACCGACCAGCCGCCCCCGAGGCCCCCGGGCCCTTCCCAGGTGGGCGTGGGGTCACCGCCCACCTGGCGGCCGTGACTCGGGTCTGGGCACAGCTCAGGGCACCGCGCGTGGGGAAGCCTGGGGGGGGCCTGGCGTCGGCGGGGGGACCCTGGGCTCCCGCACCCCCCCCCCGGCCCAGCCCCGCAGCGGCTCACGGGACGGACCCCCATCGGTGCCCTGGGCTGCGTCTTCCTGACGGTGAGGCAGCCCGTGCCCGAGCAAAGTGTGAAGAAGCCAGAACACGCCTGCATCCCACAGCACGGCGCGGGCTGCCCGGCCGCCCGGCCCCTCACCCGGTTTTCTGCCGCGCCGCCGCCCCGCCCCGTCCCGTCCCGTCGGAGGCTGTCCCGCGACGAGGCAGACGGCCCCCAGCGGTCACGGCCGCGTGGGGCCTCGTCCACGCCCCATGCTCCCGCCCCCCCCACCTCCGTGGGCTGAAGGAGGCGCGGGGTCCCGGGTGGGGGGTCGCTGGGGTCCTGCGGGCGTCTGCCGACAAAAATGCTCCCACATGAACCCCGGCCATGTGGTTTTTATTTTTTAGGGCCCGCCCGTGGCCCTTGTCCCTTGCCCGGCTCCGGGCTGCTCAGCTGTGAGGGAGCGGAAACCCCCTCTCTTACGAGCGGTTTCGAACGCACCCGGACGCGGGCAGGGCGAGGTCGGCTCCAGGCCCAGGCGCTCCGAGTCTGCCGTCGCCCTCGGCGACGTGTCCGGGGACCCGCCCGTCCTCCCGGGCCCTCCTGCAAGTGTTTGGGGTTAAAGAACAGGCGGGGGGGGGGCGGGGATGGGGGCACAGTCCGGGACGGAAACAGGTGGGCTGACTCCGTGTGCAGACCAAGGGACTGTCCCCCACAGCTCGGCCCGGGGCTCGGGGCTCAGGATGTCACCTCCTGTTTCTGGTTGGTTTTTTGGGGGGAGTTTTTGTCACACACGGACGGACGTTGCGTCTGGTCCTCCCCTGAGGGCAGCGTGCTGTCCGAGTGCCCCTGCGGGTGGGGCGGCCGCGGCGTGGCCACGCTGAGCGCTCCCAGCCTGAGCGGACCCCGCTCGGTCACGGCATCTCCGTTCTGCGTGTGACGGGCTCCACCAGGGCCCGGCCAGCACCGCGCACCCCGTTCTGCCCGTCTGCGGCCCGGGGAGGGCAGGGCGGCCTCGGGAAAGGAGCTGGAAGGGGTGAGCTCTCCCACCTTCTCGGAGCTGGCGTGGAGCTGGCGTGGTTTCATCTGTGACTGTCTCGTGGAGTTTGCCTGCGGAACTCCTGGGTCGGAGCTTCCCTTTGGAAGGTGACGAGTGTGGACGCCGCCGCCTCAGGAGCCAGAGGGGCAGCCGGCCTCCAGCTCCCCCGCCACGGGTGGGTTCGGGTGCTCCTCGCAGCCCGGGAGCTGGCCCGCCCCGCGCGGTGGCCGGCCTGGGCCCGGAGCCGCCCTCCCCGGCCCGTGGGCTGCGCCGACAGACCCCCCCACCCCAAACCCCGTTGATGGGGTTCCTGTCTTCTCGGGAAACCTCGCCTTTCTTCTTTGTCCGTCTGACCGGAGAGTCACCGGGCCTTTTCTGAAGAGCCAGCTCCAGGCGTCGCCGACTTCCTCTGGGGGTTGGATTTTGATCTCGCCGACTGGGCCGCGGCTCTGTCACCCCCCGCCCTCGGGCCCGGTCGCCCCTGCCCCCTGAGAGGGAAGCTCAGGTGTTGCTGCGACCTTTCTTCTCTCCCAGCCGGCCAGGCAGTGCTCTGCGGCCCTCCATCGCACTGCGTGACCAGGCCCCCCACACACGTGCTTTCAGTCGCCGAGGTTCTGTCTGGACTCGGGGTCCAGAGCATTTCCCAGGTCCCCGCGACCCCCCTGGGATCCGCGGCTCTGCTGGCAGCGTGCCGACCCCCGGGCCCCGGGTGTGCAAGAGCCCCCGCGGTGCTGGTTTCCAGCCCGGGTCCGCCACGGCCAAGGACGCACTTGACATCGCTGAATTCTTTTACGTCCGTCCGGTCAGCCCAAGGGTCCGGGGTCTGGGCTCTCCGGGAGGCGCCCCGAGCTCTGCTCCTGCGGCGCCCGGAAGGCCCCGGGCACCTCAGCCCTGCCTCCTGGCCGCCCCTCTGTCCCTCTGTCCGTCCATCCTTCGGAAGCTGAGACAGGCCTTGAGGCCCCGGCCGGGCTGTGGTTGGATGTCCCAGCTTCCAGTCCTCGCTCCGTGGGCTTCCGTGTGCTTGTGCTTTTGCTCCCTGTGCGTCGGGGGATCTGTTGTGGGGTGAACGCGCCCCACAGCCAGTTCTCCGGCCCCTCTCCTGCCTGCGGAGCGTCTCCGCTTCCCCCGGCGGTTTCCTTGCCCGGGAGCCCCTCCGTCCAGCGCCGTCTCCCCCCCCAGCTGCCCCGCGAGGGCTGTTCCCATGGCGTCCCCTCGCCCCCTCACCTTGGCATGCACCTGTGTGGTTATGGGTGCAGTGGGTTTGTGTGGGCCGCACGCTGTTGGGTTTTCTGTTTTTAAAATTAATTAATTTATTCATTTTCAGAGAGGGAAGGGATGGGGGAGAGAGAGAGAGAAACATCAATGTGCGGTTGCTGGGGGCCATGGCCTGCAACCCAGGCATGTGCCCTGACTGGGAATCAAACCTGCGACACTGTGGTTCGCAGCCCTCGCTCAATCCACTGAGCTACGCCAGCCAGGGCGAGTTTCTGCTTTTTAACTGGCGGTTGGGACCTTGGCACTTGACACATCATCTGTGTGTCTGGGCTCCCATCTCCCGCGGTCTCACTCCGGCCTGTCCCTCTGCCCCCCTCCCTGCTTCCCTCTGGGGTTGTGCGGTCTCCCCCCGACCCAGACGGCGCTTCATGGCGGCTCCTCGGGCAGCGCGGCAGCCCTGTGCCCTCGGGGCTCCTCCCGCTGCCTGGACGGCGCCGGTGTCCCGATCGCACCCTCGTCCGTCCCCGAGCCCCTGGGCATGCGCTGGAGCGTTCCCTCCCCGCCCTCGCAGGGCAGGCGGTGTGAAGAAACGAGCAGGAAAAGAGGGACTCCACCCAGACACCTGTGATTGGGATCCGGCGCCCAGGTGCGGCCCTGCGGGGGCTGGGCGGGGGTGAGTCCCGTCCCCTGAGGGGCCCCGACGGGGAGCAGGGCACCCCGCAGGCGGGAGGGAAACCCTGGGAACGAGTCTCTCCGTGCACAGGCGACCCCAGGGGGACGTGGCGGCGAGGGCGCCGGCCTGGCGCAGCAGGGAGCCCAGTGTAGCTGCAGCCGCCGGCCGCCCGCGTCCCCAGGCAGAGCTGCCCCTGAACCACCAGGCGTGACCTGCCGGGGCGCCGGGACCGCAGGCACCTGGACACAGCCCTGGGCCAGGCCCCGCACAGCCGGCCCTGCGCTGTCCGGGCCGCGGGTCTGTTCTGCTGACGGACCCCGTTCCGGGTGGGGACGGAGGGAACCCGCGGGTGTGCAGGGCGGGGCCAAGGGACTCGGGGTCCTCCCGGGCCCTCTGTTCAGGGCAAAGGTGTCGTTCCCTGCGGCCCCCCAAGGACCCCGCGCCGGCTCCCCCAGGGTCTTCGTTTGGGGGGGTCTCCCAGAGCCTGCCGCCGGCTCCCAGCCAGACTCTCGCCCGTGCTCCCGCCGCACACGGGGTCTGTGCCTCGGGGCCTTGGGGGCTGCGGGACAGAGAAGGGGCCCACGGGGTCCTGAGCCCACAGCGAGGTGGGGGCGCGCGGCTCTGGTTTCACAGCTACAGGAGGGACAGTAAGTGGATGGAGGTCAGGACGAAGGCCTGACTGATGGGGAGGCCACGTGGAGTCGATGGGGACAGGTCAGTCCCGTGCGGCCAGCGGTCTGTGGGCGGCGTGGTCACCCCCTGCCGTGGCTGGGCTTCCGCTGGGCTCCCGGCCAAGGCCTGGGGCCCCGAGCAGCCCCTGTGGCTCTGGGTCTGCTCTCTCCGGGTCTCGGCCGGGCCTGGGCAGCCTCCAGCCGGGGTGGCCGGGACCCTCGGGGCGGTTCAGGGAGGCCTGGGGTGGCAGCCCCGGTGCTCAGGGGTGACCCGGGGTTGGGGTGGGCCCCGCTCAGGGACTGCGCTCCAGGAGGGTCTGAGCCTGGGGCCTGGGGCTGTCTTCCTGCCCCTGGTCTTCCTGCCCCCGGGCGCTGCCGGCCCCTTTGTGGCGACTCGGGCTGTGGGTGGGCCGTTCCTCCTCCAGCCCCAGCGTCCGGGGCCCCCACTCCTGCCCGTCTCCGCCCTCCACCTGCCGACTTCCCGGGGCCGACCACTTCCCGGGGCTCCGGGTCTACGCAGCCCCCCCCCCCCCCACGGATCAGGCCCCCTGGGCGCCCTGCAGCCCAGAGCCTCCTCCCAGCTGCCCACCCAGACAGACTCCTGGGTCCCCTGACAGCCGTCCGCCCCCCCACCACGTCACCTCCAGGCCTGACGCCCTGGTCCTGCTCCGAGCTGCAGATGGTGCCCGAGTGTCCCTGGGTGCCCCTGCCCCTGCCCCCCGAGTCCCAGCCCAGCCGGCCTCCTCTCCTGCTGGAATGCAGGTGAGTCAGGCCCCTCCCACCCTGCCCCTCTGTGGCCTCACTGTCCCCCCACATCCCCAGTGGCCACTCGGCTCCTCCCTCTGGGGGACAGCCTGACCTCCTGCTAGACTCTGCCCTTCCCGGAGGCCTGGGCACCCGCCACCCGTGAAAGATGGGGCCCCTTGCACCACCACCTGCCCGCGGGGTGCGTCGGGCCGGCTCGGGCGCCCCATCACGGTTGCCGTGCAGAACAAACGGCCCGCTGAGGGGGAGGGACAACTCGGCCCTCCTGTCCTTCAGTCGGTGGGACGGCACCCAGGGGCCTCCCTGCCGCCCGCCGGGCGTGCCCCTGCGCGGTCTGGGCAGACGGCGGCTCCCTGCGGCCCCAGAGAGCCCGGCCGCTCCGGCTGCCGGCACCAGGGACTCCCTGGGCCGCAGGGCCACTGCTGCGGCCTCCGACCACCGCCTCTGCGTGTCTGCGGCCCTGGGATCGGCTCCGCCCACCGGGGGCAGAGGGCAGGGCACGCACCCCCGGGAACCAGCGCCCACGGGTGAGCTGCCTGGCTGCCTGTGTGGGGTGTCTCTGTCCAGCCGGGAGGCGGAAGTGGGAGGCCCCCCCCATGTGGCATTTTCGTCACAGGCCCCAGGGTCAGACAAGGCCCGGGGGACAGGGCCGCGGCTCTACGGGGGCCCTGAGTCCCCTTCGCAGCTGCAAGTGACTGCCAGGGCGAGGGGGACACACGGCCCTCCCACCACCTCCTGCCCGCTGAGCCGGCCAGCAGCTCCCCAGGCCTCTGGGCCTGCGTCCGGCCTCCCGCCCTCCTGTCGGGCCAGCCCGGGGTCAGTCCGGGCGCCCAAGCAGGGGCCCAGAGAGCTGGGTCCTCCACAGATGGTGGCCAGGGGGGTGGCCGTGATGCCCCTCCCGACGGCTGTGCTGGGGCTGGGGAGGGCCCCCCAGGAGGGCTGCCCGGCGAGGGGAGCACCTTGTGCACAGATCACCAGGTGGGGGCGGGCGGCGGCCTGGGTCCCGGTGCCTTCTGGAAGCCTGGGAGGGCTGTGTGTGTGTGTGTGTGTGTGTGTGTGCACGCACGGGCGGGGGGGTGTCCCCTGGAGGGGCCGGGGGCCCGCTGGCTGCAGGGAGCTGGGTCAGAGCCGCGAGTGGGACTTAGGGCTTTGCGGGGATGGGGTGGGGGTGGGGCTCACCAAAGACCCGGGGCCCCACCGGGAGCCGGCTCCCTGTGGGCGAGCCCACCGCCCACACCGCAGCCTGGATGCGGGAGGCAGGGGTGGGGGCTCAGGGTGGCTGTGCTGCCGCAGACGCAGGGGGGGCACGTGGTGGGGAGGGGCTCTGCTCAGAGGGCAGGGGCGGCGGGAAGCCCGGCTGGGGGTGTCGTACCCCCCGAGGTCCGGGGCAGGCCCCGTGGGCTGCTGGTCTCCTGCTCCGAGTCCCGCCGCCGTGGGCTGGGCGCACCCGACCTGCCGCACGAGCTCAGAACCCGTCACTGCGAGGGTCACGGAGCCGCCTGTGGACACGCAGCCCGCAGTCTGGGGGCAGGGCTGAGTCCAAGACCCAGCCCACCCTGGCAGGAGGGAGGGGGACCCAGGGACGCTCAGCTCTAGAAGCTTCCTGGGCCCAGTGGGGTCTCAGAGCTGAGGCACACTTGTCCCAAACCTGCCTCCTGGGCTGGGGCTTGGAGGGGGCGGGGAGGCCAGAGCACCGTGTGGGAGGGGCGGGGACCTCGCACCCGGGAGCCAGTCCCAGCCGCCTGCAGGGGCTCCAGTGTGTCCGGGGGGCCCGAGGGGCGGATGAGAGCTCCAGGGGCTCCTGCGAGGCGGGGACAGCCCCCCAACCCCTCGGTGTGGGCTGGGCACCGCCCTGAAGAAGAACGAGCGAACCGAAGTGGGGGCTTGGCCCGAGGGGGACCCCGGGCGCGGTGGCCAGGATCTGGTCCCCGCCGGAACCTGCCGCAGCGGCACTGAGGGCAGGCCTGGCCCTGGCACACATGGGCCTGCTCTCACGGTGCGGCTCACAAGCCGTGTCCTCCCGGACGCTGCTCACGTTCCGCTCTGGCTGGCTGAGGTGGGGTCGCAGGCCTCCCACAGCTGGACTGAGGACCTGATGGCCCTGCCTGGCCCGGGGTCCCCCCGGCCCCACCCGACTGGTGCAGGTGGGCCGGGTCACCGGCCTCCGCAGAGGCACCCCACAGCTCCCGGGGGCCTCGGGTGGGGGCAGAGGGGCCACTGGAGCCCTGGGTGTTCTCACCAGGGCGACCGCATCCCCGGTTCCTCTCCAGGCACCAGGGTGGACGGCCCTGCCCACCCCAGACGGTGTGAGTGCGTTTGTCCGACGCAGCCGCCCGCCCTCGGAGCCGGGCCCGCGCCGGTGGGGAGGGACCCAGGCTGAGAGCCCTGTGGAGGGGACCGCCCCACCTGGCCCTCCGCTCTCCACACCCACCACCCAGCCCTCCTGCGTGTCCCCAGGAAACCCGACCACCCTCACCCTCAACACAGCCCGGCCCACCGTGTGGGGGGAGCCCGAGCCCAGGGAGGTGGGGGCGGGGTGCACCCCCATCATTGCACCCCCAGGGGCGCAGGAAGGGGCGATGCGCGCCACCTCTGTCGGAGGAAGAATCACCGAATGAACAGCGTTTGAGCACCGATGACGTCCTCACGCTGCGTGTGAGACTCACACTCGTCACAGCCCCCGCAGCTGCGGGCTTGGTTCTTCGTCTGCTTCTTGCCTGGTGACTGTACCCCCTTCATCATCGTCACCACCACCATCATCATCATCATCATCACTGTCACCATCATCACCACCATCATCACCTTCACCACCACCTTCCTCACCACCACCACCATCACCACCATCATCATCGTCACCAGCACCACCACCTTCACCACCATCATCCCCTTTGTCACACCCGTCCCTGGGATGGTCCTCGTGTTTGTTCCCCACCGTGACCCCGCCCAGCCGGACTGAGGTGCCGTCCCCGTCCCCGTGGGTAGACACCCTCCCCACCTTCCTTGGGGAGGGGCAGAGGCTGTGGAAGGTCCTCCGGTCCTTCCCCACGTGCTCGGAGCCTCTCTCCGAGGTTTGGGGTGGGATTCGGTCGGCCCCTCCCGGGCTCAGGGGACCTCGCCTGGGGGCGCTTGCTGCCCCCGAAAGGGCATCGGCACTTCAGAGCGGCCGTTTCTGGCCGCGCTGTCTTCCCGGGGCGTCTGGGGCGATGCCTGCACGGCCACGGCGACGACGGATGGTGGCTCTGGCCTTGGCGGCTTTTTCTCCCCGGGAGGCGACCTGGTTGTTTGTTTTTCTTTTTTGCCTTAGAAGCCACGGGCCTTACTTTTCAAGTCCAGTTTCTCGGTGCTGACTGACCGGTGTCAGCTTTTTCTAGGAATCAGGGTGGGCTTTCAAAGGCCGGTTTCTCCAGCAGCAGTTTCTTGAAGCGTGAAAACTTCTTGGAATTTTTGTCTTGTCGCGTGGGTTTAGCTGGGCCTCGGCGGCGCCCGCTGGGCGTGTGGTGGGTGCCCTCCGCTCCTCTTTCCCGCCCTCGGCTCTCGCGCTCCCCCCATTCACTCCGTGGGTTTTCGCAGAAGCAGCCCCCATGCCCCGGCCGCATCTGCGCGTGGCCGGCCCCCTCGCCGCCCCCGACACACCCCTCGCTGCCCGGACCTGCCAGGCAGCACCCGGGACGCTCGCAGCCTTGTCCCTCCCGTCTTTCCTGAGACCCGACAGCTCCTGTCATCCCTTTCAGGGTCTCGTTTACTTCTTGACTTTTTTAAAAAGAGTTTATTTATTTTACTGTCAGAGAGAGGGGAAGGGAGGGACAAAGAGAGGGAGAGAAACATCAGTGTGTGGTTGCCTCTCGCACACCCCCTGCTGGGGACCTGGCCCACAACCCAGGTATGTGCCCTGACTGGGAATCGAACCGGCAACCCTTTGGTTCACAGGCCGGTGCTCAGTCCACTGAGCCACAGCAGCCAGGGCTTATTTCTTGACTTCTGTATTTCCATTTTGAATTCTCCAGTCACCCTCCCGAAGGCCATTTTATCTGCAAATCCATTGCTTATTCTAAAATTTTATTTATTTATTTTTTGTTTTTTTTTCCCATCATTTTATTTTCAGTTTTCCTATTGTGTTACATTTATTTTTTAAATACATTTTATTGGTTGTGCTATTAAATTTGTCCCATTTCCCCCCTTCACTCCCCTCCACCCTGTATACCCCCTCCCACCCACATTCCCCCCCTTTAGTTCATGTCCACGGGTCGTACATGTAACTTCTTTGGCTTCTCCATTTCCCACCCTGTTCTTACCCTCCCCCCGTCTATTTTCTACCTATTATTTGTGCTCCTTCTTCCCTGTGCCTCCCCCCCAACAACCCTCCAGGTGATCTCCATTTCTGTGATTCTGTTCCTGTTCTAGTTGTTTGCTTAGTTCGTTTTTGTTTTGTTTTTTTTTGTGCAATTGTTGGTAGTTGTGTGTGTTGTCACTTTACTATTCATATTTTTTATCTTCTTTTTCTCAGATAAGTCTTTTTAGCATTTCATGTAATAAAGGCTGGGTGATAATGAACTCCTTTAACTTGACCTTATCTGGGAAGCACTTGATCTGCCCTTCCATTCTAAATGACAGCTTTGCTGGAGAGAGTGCTCTTGGATGTAGGCCCTTGCCTTTCATGACTTGGAATACTTCTTTCCAGCCCCTCCTTGCCTGCAAGGTTTCTTTTGAGAAATCAGCTGACAGTCTGATGGGAACTCCTTTGTAGGTAACTGTCCCCTTATCTCTTGCTGCTTCTAGGATTCTCTCCCTGGCTTTCATCCTGGGTAATGTAATGATGATGTGCCTTGGTGTGTTCCTCCTTGGGTCCAACTTCTTTGGGACTCTCTGAGCTTCCTGGACTTCCTGGAAGTCTATCTCCTTTGCCAGATTGGGGAAGTTCTCCTTCATTATTTGTTCAAATAAGTTTTCAATTTCTTGCTCTTCCTCTTCTTCCTCTGGCACCCCTGCGATTTGGATGT